AGAAACTATAGTTGGCAATTTATTTTTTTTCTTTTAATCATGATCTTCTTTGTATACTTTGCAAGTTTTGTAGCAACTATTTCTCCAAATAAATTAATTTTCAGAATAGTCTTTACTATAAATAGTTAATAGATTTTGGATGCTTACTATTTAGGTATTTAGTTTTAATATTGTAATATATATATTTTTTTTTAATATTCAAGATAACCACTTAGACCTTTGGCACTTTATTAATACTAGTGGGTATTACTAATCCAAAGATTATATACAACATGTTATAGTATTATAAGAATACAACTAGCCACACTTACAACTTTTGGTTGTCTAATTTAAGTAGTCTGCTCTAAGGTTTTACACTAGCTACTATACCTATAACCTAACTAGAAAGCTATCTATTTAAACTCTCTGGCTTTAACTTCTGCACCACATTTCTTCTAATATATTTTTTTAGAATAATTTGCTATTAAAACCCTAAAGCTTTAGCTGCCAGTTAATCTAGTTTCTCAGTGAGGCATTTATCCTTGTAGTAAACCTAACAGAGTAGTTTATGTCCCACATATATATTCATCTGCATGCTTGGTAACTTTCACTAATTAGTATCTGTTGTGCTGCTACTACCAGGTTTATGTCTTAAGCTATCTTTTTGGATACTGCTACAACCTAATCTGTATCTCAAGCCACAATCATTCTAATTAGTTCTTATTATATACTCCTTACCTTTGCAAGATTCATAATGACTCCACTACCCATATTTCAATTTCTTTCTTTTTTAAATTTCTTATTGGTCTCTTCTTTACTTCCAGCTAGCAACCCGAAAGAGTTAGTATGTCTAGGCTTTAAATACCTCACAGTCTCTCTCTTCTTGGTATATGCTTCTAAAGCACAAGTCTTTTTTTTTTAGTAATAAGCTAGTGATTTAGCTAGTATATCCTTCTACTTAAAAACCTGGTCACTCAGTTCTTCAGTCTTAGTTTCTGGTTCCATATTCAGTCTTTTTGTAGTACTATTGAAAATTCCTGCTACTTTCTAACTTGGAACTTCCCAAATAGATTTTGATCATTGCAGTTTCTTGAACTTTTATATGCCAAAGCTCCTATGTAAACATGGTATTACCAAGATTACAAGTTCTGAACCCAACTAATTAACAAATAACTGTTATTATAGCATAGTTTATTTTTCAAAAATGTTGTTTATGGAATTCAAACTCTAGACCTGCTGTCTGGGAGTGTGACAACTCTACCACTTCACTAAGTCACCACACCTTAATATTTTTATTTTTTATTATAGATTGCACTTAATATTTATTAGAAAGAGATAATTATTAAAATAACTAAAGCTAGTATATTTAAACTTAAATGATTTAGAGATTTTTTATTATTTAAACAATAAGAATTCAAAAGTTATACAAGCCTGAACATTTTAACCAAACAATAAGCTTTTGTTTTTATTTTTTTTATTTATTTAAATTATTAATATAATAATTTAAATATACAATAACAATTAGTTTAACCTAATTTAAATCAAAAAACAATTACAAAGTTTTAATAAATTTTATATAAACAAATACAGTCAGACCTCTTTAAATACACCCTCTATAAATGCATATACTCTCTAAATGCATGCTCAAGTGCTAGCCCAAATATATATTTAATCTCTATAAATATACTTTTTCTTATTATTCTTTATATGCATATTATTAAAGTGTGGTTTCAAGAGCATATACTTAGAGAGGTCTAACTGTAAATAGTTTAATTTGATCAATCTAATTTTGGTTAAACAAAAGTATTTACAATATTTAAATATTAACTGTTTCACATATAGCTATCAAATGCTTTAAAACTAACAATTACTAGAATAGTAAATTAAATTCTAATCTAACTTAAATCACATAGTCTAAAGCAAATTATAATCATGATACATCAATTATGTGATATATGGCTTTAAGGCTTTAATAAAATTATATGCTTTAATCTGTTGAAGTCTTTTACAATAATTACAAACTTATTTATCTGTCCAAACTTGAGTAATTTAAAGATTTTGGATTATTAAATAATAAAAAAATTTCTGAAATTGTGTAAGTCTAAAAAAATATTTTAAGCAATACAGTAATCTAGCATTTAAATAAAATGGCTACATAATCAAGAAAATTTAAATTACCTGTATCAAATAATTAGAATGATTATTTTATTTAATTCAAAGATGATCTCTCTATATACTTTACAGAACTACTATTTGATAATACAAGTACCAAACAAAAGTTTTAACTTAGATTCAAAAATATTAATTAAGTATAGAAGATTATACTACGCATAATAAAAAGCTTGATACAATCAAGCAATTTATTGAATTTTTTACTGTGCTTACAATTATGGATTGCTCAAGAAAATGGAATATAATTTTAATATACAGTATGAAAGTTGTATAGTAGTTGTATATGAAGAATTTTGTCATCTTGACAAAAATTATCATTGAGAAATTAAAGTTTTTTATTAATAATTAACAACAAAGCTTGTAAAAAAAAAAAAAAAAAAAAGGCCTAATAAGCAAATTATATAAGTGCTGTAATGGTTTTTTTCAAGTGTACAAATATTCTCAGTAATTAAAATTTATCATTCACTAAAGTTGTATAAAGTCTCTAAAAAGGTTGAAGTTGCTTTTTATGAAGTTTCAAAAAAAAAGGTGAGAAAATAAAATAATTAAAATAATTAAAAATTAAAATAATTTAAAAATACGTCATTTAAAAAATTTCGCTAAAAATTTTTGCAGTTAAATCAGGGTTAGAGTTTGCTATTAAGTTAGATTAGAAAGTGCTTTTTAATACCAAAATTTCACAAGAAAAACTTTTTGTTAGTACGCAGAAAGCAATTTCATAGGTAGATGAGTTCTGACAAATTTTTTTGATTTTTTTGCGTAACACCAAACTATGGCAGTGGCGCGACTCATGTGACAGTAAATTTGATGGCCGCCCTAGTCGATTCATGAACCCGATTTGTATCTTAAAGGTCTCTTATTTGCCAAATATCTGTTTCAAATCAGTTTCATATCGGGATTACGTGATGCCCGATTTGCCTTCATTCGACCTGTGAAATTTTACGTATATATATAAAAAAAAAATGTTCGCATGTTCATTCTTAAAATTTAAATTTATTTCCACATAAAATTCAAAGTCTACTTTAGATTCGGAACCCGGATTACGAATTTTTTGTAAGTGGATATAGAATATTAGTAGATTTGGAATCCATAAAAGTTAAATTTCAGATCTTAAAAAACTTTAATTTATGCGATTATACATTTAAAGTGATCGAATTATAATTTATTACGAAATATACACGTATTTGAAGTGATCTTTTACTTTAATGAATTATTTTGTTTCAAATTTTGTAACATAAGATGTCAATCTAAGAATATCCTTTATTTCGAAACAAGTTTTTAATGGTTTGTAGAGTTCCAATCTATTAAACATTTATCCAGAATCCTTTATTCGTACATCCATTTACCGTTTGCCACTGCCTACAGTATCCTCCAAAAATAATACCCCGTGATTAAGACCGGTCCGGTCCTAGGACGAGCTGGCGGTCCATCGGTTTGAATTGGACCACTTAACAGCCCTACTATCGCAGTACTTCTTAACTCAATAATACAACTTAAAGATCGATATTCGGTTAATTAGGAATTGGAACCAATCCAAATGTTCATAATAATTACAGTCATAAAATAAGAATAAATTACAGTAGTCCTTTATCGAATACCAAATTAACTGAACAATCAAATATGAGAAAAACCAATATCCACTTGAATACTCTATTGAATATTAGTATTTAAAAATGGAGAGACATATGCAAACAAAATTCTCGACCTTCCCAAGATAAAGTTACGAAACCATAATAGTGGAATCTACATTTATCGTGACTAATACGAAATGCAAATATGAGTGCTCTATACTGTCATGGGCTAGATTGACATCATAGTCAATCAAGTTGATAATTTAGAGCCAAAGGCTTAGACAATCTGCGATAGATCTCGGCCGATTAAAATTAAGCCACTATATAATAAGGTGAGATCTGTTTAAGCCTCATTAGTCCTTTAAGTTATAAAAGGACGTAACTTAGTTAAGGTTGGTTACGACTCTTATGTGCGAGGAAGGGGCACATAATATCACTAACCCGATAATAATTCCTTATATTATAATTAACCAAATCACCAACGTCACGCCTCTGGCGAGTTGCCTTATGTCATAAAAGTCTATATTTTATAGTATAGATTATTAAACGTACGATTCACCCCATAACAGTACTATATTATACATATAAGAAAATGCTCATGCTCAAACGCATGTTTTTTGTTACATTAAATTACAAATTTGAATTAAGTGCGGACAATTACTAAAAAAATTTAATTAAATTTTTGCTACTTTAAAAATATATTTGTTGTTTTATGGTTTATAAAATTTTTGAGTTCGATCACATAAATGGTGGAAAAGGAAAACCGATTCACCTTATAGTTAGTGTAAAAATTCGATGTGCGCATGTGCGGATCGCACATGAAATTTTCTTATTTTAGGAGTGCGCACATACTTTTCAAACTGAATTTTTTACACTGATCGCAATGATTACATGATGTATACAGCAAATCGTTCTAGTCGCTTCGATAACACTATTGCTTGGTCGTCAACCGGATTTATTAAAAAGAAAAAGATGTTAAGAGTTCATCATACTGTATAGGGTTAAATTCTTCAGGAGCCGGGCTTGTAGTCAATCAATTTACAGGTTCTCTGTCTCGTTGTACGATAAATATAAATGTAATACAGATGGTTAATCATTGTAATTTTGATTAATAATGAATTTTCTCGGATTAATAACAATAAATACTGAAATTGTCATTAACCGAGTGAAGCTAGCAATCAAAAATACATAGATGAACCCACAAAAAACGCTTAAATACTTGTTTACAATGCCTTTCTCACCTTTAAGATAATTTTTCCATCTTATTTAGTACTGAAAATGACTATCAAGGTCATTGGATTTTCACGTTCAACAAATACCCTCAGAGTTATTGCATGTCTTAATGAATTAGGTATTCCATACCAACTCGACACTCCAGCTAATTTTGGGGTTATAAAAGAAAAGGATTATCTCGCTAATAAACACCCTTTGTAAATATCATATAAGAGTACTAACACATGAGCTCGTTATAACCTTCCCTTTTCATTGAAACTTAATTAGCAGAACGGAATTATAATGAGCTAATAAGTAGTGTTACAAATCGCCAAAAATTTTCCAATCGATTAGTTGAGGATTATTTTTTTAGTTGACAAACTAGTTGCAACTAATCAATTAATCGATTAATTGTTAAGTTGCAA